GGAGGAAGATGGCACATAAGGCTTTCATAATCGCAGGGTCATTTACATTACAATTAAAACAATTTTATACCATACCTGTGCATGCATTCATTTAGTACATACTTATGAAGCCCTACTATGTGCCAGGCACTGTTTTAGGCTCTGAGAATACAATGGTAAACACAAAGTCTTTGCACTAAAGAAGTTTATATTCTAAAAAGGTGAAACATTCAAAGTCTATTCATTCAACAAATATTGAGTACCAAGTGAATGCTGGACACTATTTTAGATGCGAGGGATGCATTGGTAAACAAAACAAGCAAAATTCCTTGTCCTCATAGGGCTTACATTTTAGTGGGAAGAGACAGACAATAAATCATAAACATAACAAATAAGGAAACGATATAGTATATTAGAGGGTTATAGCTGAGCGGGGGTAGGGAGTTGGAATTGCAATTTTTAGATAAGTGATCAGGGCTGGCCCCATTAAGGCATGGAAGGAGGTAAGGGAGTGAGCTACGCGGCTGAGGGAGAATGTACTAGGCAGATGGAACAGCCAGTGCAAGGCCCTGAGGCAGGAGCATTCCTGGCAGAAATAAGGACTGCAAGGAGCACAATTAGCAAAGGAAAAAGTAGGAGGAGATGAAGGTAGAGGGGGAGTGGAAAGGGAATAGATCAAAGATCCCATAGGGCGTTGTCCAGTGAAGAGGCCACCATTCACATCTGCAACAATTAAGTACCAAATGTATTTCTTGCTAAGCGGAGGACAGCAGTACTTGTAAGAAAGAGTGTCTCTGAACAAAGGAATCTGCGACTCTTATATAGTGTTTTGGGAAGCATGGGGTTTGGAGGTTGGGGAACTCTTAGAAGCTGGACTGATTAGAGATGAGTTGACCTTTAGCTGTGAAAGAAGGATTACTAGAGTGTGGCTGTTGCTGATTGGCTAATTTTCAGAAGTAAGTCACTGATCAGGAGATTGTTATTGATCGATTAAAACAGATTCTGGTTGTTTTTGGTCACTATGACCAAAGAACAATCAGTATCTTTTTGTTGTTCAACTTGGAATGAAGGAGCTTGCCACTGTCTTGTAAGGCCACTGGACAAGTCTTTATCTTTTACTTTGAGGAAAATGAGGAGTTAATAGGGGAATTTAAAGCAGTGGAGTGACGGGATTTGACTTATATTTTCAGAGGATCTGAAATCTTGGCTGCTGTGTATCAGAGAGGAAGAAGGGAGACAAGTCACTGCAGTCACCCTGATGAGAGATGTATTAGGTTGTTCTTGCATTCCTGTAAAGAAATACCTCAGACTAGGTAATTTATACAAATAGAGGTTTAATTGGCTCACAGTTCTGCAGGCTGTATAGGAAGCATAAGGCTGGCATCTGCTTCTGGGGAGGCCTCAGGAAGCTTCCAATCATGGTGCAAGGCAGCATGGGAGCAGGCACTTTATAAGGCCAAAGCAGGAGCAAGAGGGAGAGGGGGAGGCGCCACACACTTTTAAACCACCGGATCCCAAGAGAACTCACTCCCTATCTCGAGGACAGCATCCAGGGCATGATGCTCAACCATTCATGAGAAAGGTACCCCCATTATCCAATTATCTCCCACCAGGCCGCACCTCCAACACGGGATTACATTTCAACATGAGATTTGGGCAGAACATCCAAATCTTTTCAGGAGATGTGACTTGAACCACGGTGGTAGTAGTGTGGGCAATGAGGAGTGTTTTTTCCCTCTTTTTTTTTTTTTGAGATAGAGTCTTGCTCTGTCACTCAGGCTGGAGTGCAGTGATGCAATCTCAGCTAACTGCAGCAATCTCAGCTCACTGCAGCCTCCACTTCCCGGGTTCAAGTGATTCTCCCACCTCAGCTTCCCGAGTAGCTGGGACTACCAGCATGCACCACCATGCCCAGATAATTTTTGTATTTTTTGCAGAGACGGGGTTTCACCATGTTGGCCAGGCTGATCTCAAACTCCTGAGCTCAAGCAGTCCACCCTCCTCAGCCTCCCAAAATGCTTGGATTACAGACGTAAGTCACTGAGCCTAGCCTGTTTCCATTTTAGATATATGTACTTATAGCCAACAAATAAACAAGATAATCCAGTTAGGCTAAGGGTATTGGAGTAAACATAATCATATTTACTTTTACATAGAATAATATAGCTGGATGACAGGATAGAGAGTAACTGGGTGGGGCTACTTAAGATGAAGGGATCAGGGAAGTCTCTCGTTGAAGGGGCAAGACCTCAGTGATGAAAAGGAACCAGTGAGGATCTTAAGGCTGGTGCGTGTGTGAGGAGCAATGCATAGGCCAGTGGGTCTAGAGGGTGGTGAGGTCAGGGTTGAGGAAGAGCCACAAGCCGGGTGGGAGAGGGAAGCTGAAGCCAGATCCTTCTAGGCCTCAGTGCATAGAATGGATTGAGAAGAGTGGAGCAAGAGAAGAATCAGGAAGGTGGAAGTGGAGACAATATTCTGCTAGACACTGTCCTCATGGGAATTTTACGAGGCCTCGTTGAAGTGATGAAGTAAAATCTAACTGTGAAGTCTTCATGGGGCCAGGGATTCTGTTTCATTGTTTGTTGCCTAGATAAATAGCGATATAAACTAACTGGCAGCTGTGGTGTATAGACTCGAAATAAAGACACTCAATTACCTGTCTCTGACTTTTAATGCAAAGACTAGGTTAGCTGCAGTGTTTTTTCCAAGACTAAATTATGATCTTGGCCTCCCTCTTTCACCAAGACATCAGAAAAATGGTTAACATTTACTGGGGGCTTCCTGAAATAGACACAGAAGGCACAGAGAACACAGGTTGGTTGTCAAGGCAGGATGACCTAGGATCCAACTGCAGAGGATGTGGACTGGGTTCCATTTCTCCTAGAGTTCTGGCTCCCCAGGGTAAGGAGAGTGATTCATTCACCTTTGTAGCCCTGGTGCTCCTAGTACAATGCCTGCAGAACCGTAGGAGCTGATATTACCTTTTAGTGGAATTTGAATTAAGTACGTAGTTTAGATACACAGTACTGAAATGATAAACTCAGAAAAGTAGTCATCTTCACATCTTTTGGTTCACCATTCATAATTGGAAGAAGGATTAGTCATCCTTCTCCCAATTCTATTACTTGTGTTTTTATATTTCCTGCCCTTGAACCTTTGAACACATCATTTCACTCCTAAATCTCCACTATGGGTAAGCATAGAGAAAGGGAGAAATTAAACTCAGGCCAATTCTTCCTTGTTTTTTGTTTTTTGTTTTCTTTGCAATTAACACTTTTTAAATGTTTGATGAAGATTGAAGAAATTCATGCTATATAAAGATCTTAGGATAATATTTTTTTTTTTTTTTTTTTGAGATGGAGTCTGGCTCTGTCGCCCAGGCTGGAGTGTAGTGGCCGGATCTCAGCTCACTGCAAGCTCCGCCTCCCGGGTTCACGCCATTCTCCTGCCTCAGCCTCCCGAGTAGCTGGGACTACAGGCGCCTGCCACCTCGCCCCGCTAGTTTTTTTGTATTTTTTAGTAGAGACGGGGTTTCACCGTGTTCGCCAGGATGGTCTCGATCTCCTGACCTCGTGATCCGCCCGTCTTGGCCTCCCAAAGTGCTGGGATTACAGGCTTGAGCCACCGCGCCCGGCCAACTTTTTTTTTTTTTTTTTTGAGACGGAGTCTTGCTCTGTCACCTAGGCTGGAGCGCCATCTCGGCTCACTGCAACCTTGGCCTCCCGGATTCCAGCGATTCTCCTGCCTCAGCCTCCTGAGTAGTTAGGATTACAGGTGCCCATCACGACGCCCGGCTAATTTTTGTATTTTTAGTAGAGACGGGGTTTTGCCATGTTGGTTAGGCTGGTCTTGAACTCCTGACCTCAGGTGATCCGCCCGCCTCGACCTCCCAAAGTGCTGGGATAACTTTTTTTTTTTTTTTTTTAAGGGCTTTCTATGTATACATTATCCCAAATGACCCTGAGAAGCAGACATTTGGGCAAGATCACAAGCCAGTAAGAAGGGGAGCTGGAATTCAAGTCAGGTTGTCTGATGACAGTGGCATTGCTACTTACTCCTCTTTTCACAATTTGGGGCTTTCATTTGTCCTTTCTTCCATACTTGCCCCAGAAATGTTTAAATACTCTGAGAAACAGTGGGAACTCTATAAATAAAAGATCTCTCTGTATTTTTACATAATCAAAGCTAGAGAGTTTCATGTGGCGCAGGCCACTCGGTTAGTGGAAGCAGAGGGCACGCCATCCCCAGATCCAGTTGCAGTGAGTGGTGTTGGATTACCCACCTCTGGGATGGTCACTGCTGAGCGAAGCTGGACCCGGGACTGCAGTCAGAGAAAGCGAAGGAGCTTGGCTGCACAGAGGCAAGAACGGGCCACGGATTCTTGCAGCCAAAATGTCATCTGGTTGGGAAAAGCCGCTTGACAATTTGCAGCTACTAGAGGGGCGGGGGTGGGTGGAAAATGCAGCATCTTAAGTTCAAGATTCAGGGTGAAGGCTGGCTAGACTTAGCAGGGGTCTGCATCTTTAGATGAGATGTGAAAAACACCCAAGCTCAGGGACCAAATGACAGGGAGCGCTGTGCCTGCAGCGACGGTAACAGGGACCCAAGGAAAGAAAACACGAGGCGCTGAAGGCGCTCCAAGAGGTCCCCGCCGTTCAGACTCTCCCCGTGGCCCGGGCGCGTCGTCCTAGGGGGCGGCTTCTGTCCCTGGTTTCCCCTTCTTAAAAATCCAGGCGCAGGCAGGCTGAGCTCAGGCGGCTGAGACACCTTCACGTGGCAGGGGAAGGGGTGACAAGGAGAGGGAGGCCCGAGAGATCCCGCTTGGCACAGGCCCGGGTCAGCACAGGGAAGAAGGCCCGCCTAGACCCGAACGGCGCGCCAGGGCCGGGCCCTAGAAGACCTCGCGCCAAAAGGAGCGGGATCCGGAGCTGCGCGGCGGCCTCATAGGAGCGCGGGGCGGGGCCGGGGGCGGGGCGGGGCGGAGCCGCGGCGGGCGGGCGCGCGGGCGGCGCGGAGGGAGGGTGTCGCGCCGAGGGAAGCGGCCCGCGGCGGAGGGAGGGGAGGCCGAGTCCTGGAAGCGGAGCTCCGCGCTGGGACTGGTTCCTTCGCAGCCATTTTCTGTCCAACCAAACAGCCGATTGGAGACGGGAGCCAACCAGGGCTGCATTGGAGGTTTGTGTCTCGCTTCGGCCAATGATCGCTCCTAAACCGACTCCACTTTAGCTCGAATGAAATGTCCGTCTCCTCCCGGCGCCGTCCCCGCCGCCAACGCCGCCGCGGCCGGGGGCACTCGCCTCCCGCCCTCCCGCGCGGGCCGGGGCCGGGGCCCGCGCCTGCGAGGCCGCTCCCGCAGCGGGCCGGGCCGGGGAGCGGGCGCGGGGCCGCGGCGCGGCTCTTTGTGCGCCGGGCTGAGGAGCGGCGGGACGCGGGCCAGGCCGCCTCCCGCTCGCCGCCGTTGAGCTCCGGGCCCGAGGCCGAGGAGGGGCCGCGGGGCTGCGTCGGGGCCCCGCTCTCGACGGCTTCCCGGGCCGGCTCCATTTTGTGCGGGGAGCCGGCGGAGGGGCGGGAGACGCGGCGCGGGCCCTGGCCCCGTAGCCCCGGCCGCGGCGCGGGCCCCCGGGGGCGCCCCCCTCCCGCCCGCGGGGCTGTGGTGGGGCCCGGCGCTTTGTCTCCCCGCACATCCCGAGGGCCGCGCGGCGGGCGGGAGGCAGGCGTTGGGCGCGGGGGCCGGGGCGGCCGGGCGAGTCAGGGGATGCGCTCTGGGGGCGGCCTCCCGGCACTCGCAGGGCTGACAGGTCGCCCGGACCGGGCCGTGAGGCCGGGGCCACCCAGGCACCTGCGTGGGGAGGAAGGCATGGCTTTGGCTTCCCCGCAGTCTGGTTTGCGCGTAAAGAATGCAGCCATCTGGCGGCTTGCGGTCCCAGGACTTGCCCCGAAGGTGGGAAGGAAGCCCTTCGGATTGGACTAAGGTTTTAATCATTAGTGGTGGGAGGCGGGAGGATATGCAGGGCCTTAAGGAACGGTAGTCTTAGAGAACAAAGAATTACAGAGCACCCACAAATCATAATCTCGCTCAAAGCACTCTAACAGGATAATTTAAGGTTAGGTAGCCTGCGACCTTTAAAAAAAAATGGCATCCCACTAACCCGCATGGACCCCATAGTTCCGTGGTTCGTGCCACAAATCACTGGGGTGGTTTCATCTCTCTTAGTATGGAAACTAATCAGCAACATAAAGTGATGAAAGCAAACGGATCAATATCAGTGGCACTAATCAGTGGGGGTTTTATTTGTAAAGTATTGAAAGTTTAACCAAAATTCCTTAAAAGGCAAATTATTCCTTCCCTGCGCTGCTCTTGTATCTTAATTTAAGGATTACTGTATATTGATGCAAAACTCTGGTTGTTGATGCCAAAGAATGGAGGGTGGAGGAAGGGACTACTGCTTTTCTTGGATACAAATTTGCATTTCTTCAAACATTAAACAGATGTATGCATTCCCTTGAGCTTTTACATATATCAACCTGCCCTTAAGAAAATATATACCATATGAGGTGGCCGTGTTTTTCTTTAATGTACTGAATCTAAATATATACTGAATCAACTCTTTGGGTGAGGGAGTGTGGTGTGACTCCCCTGTCCATACCCCCCTCCCCCATTCCAAGCAAAATACATAAATATAGCTCCCATATTTTAAGTGTTCTGAGGGCTTATTTTTTCAAAGACACCCTTTAAAAAAATAACATTTCTCGTTACAAGGAAGGACTTTTCTGAGCAGTTTTGGGGTTAGAGGATACTATTAATATTTGAAAATAAATTATAAGTTACTTTTAATATTATAGCAAATGTCAAGCAGTCTTTGCTACCTGGACCCTTTTAGTGGCATTAAAAACATTCAATTCAGTGGCTACAATTTTTTCTGCTGTTTGCTAGATTTCATGCTTGGATGCGTATCAGTATGTCTTCTCCCTTTAAAATTAACACTGAAAGGATGTGTTTTTGTTTTGGCATCCTACCCCTCACCCATTTAATTGTTTCCTTTGAAAAAGAGAAGGGAACAAATGAGAAATGAAACTTGTAACACTGCAATTGATACTAATTTGTTCAGCTATTTATGCCTTACAGTGAGACTGAAGTGCTATTTCGATGCAATTTTAGTCAAAAATGGTGGTGCTTCAAAATTATAAATAAGGGTCTTGATTGTGTTGCTTTTTTGATATACTCCCAGTGCAGAATGTATCTTCATTACAGTATAATCTGAGATTCTTAATTGGAAAGCATTATATTCTCAGATAATTTTTTCCTCCTCTTAAGCGATAGAATGCCTAAATGTTACTCTGAAACATGTAAGAAAACCGCCACCAAAAAATTAAGTTGATAAGGGGTGTATTTGCGTCTTGGGTGTTAATGTTTTAAGTGATTTAGATGTGTAATTTTTGGCGTCTTGCATATTATATAATTTGGTCCCTATTTGGTGTATTGTAATGAATGTTTATGATGAATATGGCTAAATTCAGGGTTATGTTGGAAAATCCATTTTCTCCTTTCCCCATGGAATTAACTTGTTTGTAAGTTCTCCAAAATAAATCTTTCAAGTCAACAAACATTTATTGGATGATGCCTTTTTATACTATTTTATACCATGCACTCCATGGATTATGAATCGTAGTCAAAATTGTACATGCCCTCTTTAATTTTATGAGAAAAAAAGCCTGTAAGTGATACATTTGATATATTTTTTACTACTGATAGATGTTAGGTCCTAATAGATGTTTATCTTTTAGGTTGAAATCACAAAGATTAGACACCTTTTTAGACAGGTATTCTTCAGCACCACTGACAACACGGTTCTGACAGTATTTCATGACAGTAAGTATGTTTTACCATTTTGGTTGTTAATTAGATTTGAATAGTAATTGGCTGGAAATAAAATTATAACTGATTTATACTGGAGGTGCCTGGTAGAATGAATGCGTTTCAAGTCTAGTCAGACAGTACCTCTGTTCATTCCTGTTGCTTCCTTATTTTCAGCTTTTTGCATATATTATTTCCCATGGGTCCCTAAGTGCTGTTGAGGCTACAGGGTAACCTGTCCCGGCTGTAAAGGGGCTGTCTGTTTAGCCAGTTAATTGAATACTTAGGGGACAGTTATGCCCAGAATGGAAAATGCTAACTCTTAAGTGCAGTAGATGTGGGAAGAAAGGCGTGATGGGCCTGGATACTTGGGAATGTCACAGAGGGATCCTGCAGACCTTGAACTGAGCCTTGAAATAGAGGGTGGGAGTGGATTGGTGAAGGGTATCGCCAAAAGCAAAAGCCTGGTGGCAGGATGGGCAACTTAAGTGGGGATCGGGAGTAGAGGTGCATGGTCCAGGGTAGATCTCAAAGGATAATGTAGGAAAGAGAAAGCACTTGTCCCCTCTGGATATTTAATTCTGGATGTGCTACTGTATCTCTAACCTGGGGCAGGCGTGTTACAGCTTTGGGCTAGCCATGGTTGCTTCACTCCTAAAATGAAATAAATGCACTCAGTGATCCCTAAATAAAGCACATTCTAGCACAAAGATTTTTATTAACCATGAAGATAGAGAAAAGTAGGAAACAAGTTTGATTAGGTTAAATGTGCGATCTGCTCATGTGAAGTCACGAAAATGAGGTTTGGATTTGACACAGGAGGCCTTTAGTAACCTTTGAGAATAGGTTCAAGAGTATAGAAGTGGTGTTGTGGTGAGATTAGCCTTACACCAGTATGTTAAGATGGGCTGGGGTAGTAATCCAGTGGAAACAGGAAAGGGAAAGCATATCTAGGAGACATTTTTAGAGAGGTAATAGATGAGGTAGAGCTTGAAGGAGATGGAAGAACCTAAGATGATGCTGGTATATTTAGCTGGGCAGCGTGAAAGACTGGTATTCTTCTTAGCAGAATTACGGTAGTGGAAAGGGAAATCTCCCTCCTTGCCCCCTTGCAGGGGACGGGGGAAGGTGAGTTTCATTTCCCAATATCTTAAATTTGCAGTGATGGGATATTAGACATGCTGTACAGGCATGGGTTGCTTGAGTGGCAAGCAGGATATTGGTTGTAGATTTGGAATGTATGAGCATAGAAGTGATACTTAGTGAGTTCATTAAAATAAGGGAAGAAAGAGAAGGAGAACCTTGGGTGATGTTAACAATTAGGGGGTGGGGAGGAAAGAATATTGCTTTGGAAATCAGAGCAGGAGAGAATTCCAAGCATAAATATATGTGGCCAGCAGTAGCCAGCACTACAAAGAACAGTCAAGTGGGATGAGGACAAGATCACTGGCAGCTTTGAAGAGTGGTTTCATTCTGGGTTGGGGTTAAAAAGTACATGTTCAGGAGTTTAAATAGGAATGAAGAGGTTTCTTAACAACTCTCAGGGCAAGAATGGTAGCTAGGCAAGGGTATGGGGCAGAATTAAGATTTTATATATCTCTGTGTACTTCTGTGTGCTTAATGAGGGAGACTAAGCATGTTTAAGGAAGAGTGAAGGAGCTGGTAAGGAGGATCGAAGATACGTTAGAGAAGAGGAATCTTTGTATTATTTCTTATCCGCAGAGAGATAAAAGGAATGTAACCCAGAAAACAGATAAAAGGGTAAATTAAGAGAGAGGAATCTCTGCCTGGAAGAATAATGAGAACCGTATTTGAGGGGGCAGTATTAAGATTACATTTGTTGAGTTCTGACTATGTATCTTGCACTTTGCTAAGTACTTTTTAATACAAGAGCTTCCTCATAGTAACATCACTTTAAAAATGGGGAAGCTGAAAACAAAGAGAACTCATAAACGGGGAGCCAAGCTTCAAACCCACGGAATTGGTCCTAAGAGCCAGTGCTCCTCACCGTTGTCCAGGGTGCGCTTCTTTACCATCTCACAAACACCATCCTGGTTTGAGAAGCTAATTTCAGTGCTTTCAACGTATAATCAGTAGCCTTAGAATGTAAAGGGGACAAATTAAAGAAATAGGTGTAAGAACTACATGAAAAACTAGGCAGGAATGCTGTAGAGAGTAGTTGGCATCTGAGGCCCTGGATTTTAGTCCCATTTACTGTGTCACCTCATGCAAATTATTAGCCTCATGTACCTCAGTTTTCTCACCTGCGTCACAGGCTTGTGAACATTGGATGAGGTATTTAGAAAGTGTTCAATAAATGTAAACATTAAAGAGGGCAGTATTTGTTTGTGGAACAAATTATTAGCATAGTTTAAGTACGGCTACATCAAAAAAAAGAATAAAGATTTATTAGCTTAGCCCGCTACCTGTTTATTTCACATCATATTTTCAAAAATCTGTCAATTCAACTAAATAATTAGAATAGTCATTAAAATGAATTTATTGGGATTTAACCACTCTTTGTCCATATTTATCCATTCCCTTGGGTCTAACGATTCATCATTGTCCCCTTGTCATTATCCTACATGCTGTGCTCTTCCAGCCTCATTACCTGGGTGAAATCCAACACTTTCTCTTTTGTATTCTCGTATCAGGCCTTTCAAGTGTCACACTGGACATATTGGCACCACTGTAAATTCACGGTCATTAGCTTCAGCTAGGCTCTACGCTGTCCAGCACTCCCCTCCCTTTCCTCTCCTATTCTCTGTGGTGACAGCTGTCTGTCTCTCTAGCTGCAAGAATCCCAGCATTATCCTTGGTCTTCCTGTAGCTCTATCAGTCAATCACCGAGTCACCTACTAAAAAGCTGTCTAGTTGTTCTGCTTCTCTTGATCTCCAGCGCTCTCGCCTGGACCTGATGCTAAAATGATCATTATCTTGCCTGAAGTCATGCCCTGACTACAGCATTATAGTCCTCACTGGTCTTCTGTGCCTATTTGTGCTCCCCTCCAGGTCGGTTTCTGTACTGAACTGTAGCCAGAGGGATTTTTTTTTTTTTTTTTTAAATATGGTTTGTGCTCTTCTGCTTAAAACTCTTCTTTGATTTCCTCTTATCCACAGGACACTGCTTGATCTAGCCCCTCCTTAGCTCCTTCCAATCCACCAGTACTGTATTTCTTGGTTTTCTCTGCCTGGAACATTTGTTTCAAACCTTTCTTTTTGTCTGACTGATTTCTATTCACCTTTCAGTCTCATTTTCAATGTCATTTCCTAAGATAGCCTTTCTTGACCCCTCAGACTAGTGAGGTA